GACCTATAATATCCCTGGTACCACGATCTCTTCTAAATCCAGCCTGCACATCTGGCAGTTCTCTGTTGACATATTGTTCCAAATGTTTTTGGATAATTTTCAGCAGACTCTTGCTTGCATGTGATATCAATGATATTGTTCGATAATTTCCACACTCTGTTGGGTCACCTTTCTTTGGAATGGGAACAAATACCGATCACTTGCGGTCACTTGGCCAGCTGGCTGTCCTCCAGATTTCCTGGCACAACTTAGTGAGCACATCCATAGGTGATGGGAATTTGCAATTTATCTGATGATTTTATATAGAAGGCTAACCCTTCTATATAAATCTAGCTGACAAGAAATCAGATTCTGATACACGTAGAGAGAAATTATGTTCTTTCAACTATTGATTATGCCTATTTCTCACTCTTTTCAGTGAAGCTGACTTGTAAGTATCTGCGGGCTACTGTAGTGTGACATATATACACGGCAAGCAGATCTGGGTCCCGTCGTGGCCTTATCTGTGAGAAGCAGCTTTTAGCCAAGCACTGCCATGCTTTGAGCAAGCACATTACTGTTTTGCTGAGTCCGTATTGTGTAAGGCTAAGTGCACCAGGTGCATAGTGTGATGAGGTTGGCAGAATGCCGTCTTTGTTCTCAGCACTGAGTGTCCAGCTGTGGTTCATGACCTCAAGCATAACGTTTGGTGCTGTGGGCAGGACATGAACATGACAGTGTCTCGTCGTTGTCTTCAACATCTCTAAACTTAGCCATTCTTTTCTCAGTGTACACAACTTACCCACACCAACCCAAACAAACCAGTCTACGTGCCTTTTTCTTGAAGGTTTATTAACAACCTTTAGCTAAAAATGTAACCAACCTGTGTGAGTTGACCAAATCCTTGTGGCCAAGCAGATTCTTTAATGGGATCATTAGGAAAGGTTTCAATGGGACTTCGGTCTCCGTGGCGAAACACCTGGAAATAGACATAAGACAGCAATGGGTCAAATGTCTCATGCTCCTGTAATAGCTTGTCTTCTAAACCTCTAGTTCTCAACCTTGGTTACCCACTAGAATCACCGGGAAATGGAAACAATTCCAAGGACTGAGCCTCATCCCTTAAGATTTTGGTTTAATCAGTCAGGTGAGTGCCAGAGTATCAGGCTCCTCCATCTAGAGTTAAGAATCACTCTTATAAACCCAGTGGCACCTTATCTGTATTCTAAGTAATATGAGAATCAAGATGATTAAAGTGTACAAAGCTTAACAAGATAACTTTATTGCAGACAAAGTCTCAGAATCGTCTCACCTGACCATCCAGTGGCTTTTCCAAGGTTGCAAATCACAGGGCCAGAAATTGCCGTCTTCCCCACCCCCCAAACAGCCAGAACCACAGAGAGGTGTCACCTTTAGGCTGACAGTGAGGCTCCTACGGACTAGGCCACTGCAAAAATGGCTGTGGTGTTTTTTTTTAACATTTAATAAAACAATTTAAAAAATATTGCGTGGGGGGTGAGGGAAAGTGAAAGAATTTGTTTGAATTTATGTTGGAATTTTGTAAATAAACTAGTAAAAAAAAATAAAATTATTAGGGAGCTCTGGTGGCCTAGTGGTAAGAAACTGCACTGCAATCCCAAAGGCTTGCTTTAAATCCATCGGCTGCTCATGGCAGAAGGATGGGCAAATCTCCCCGTGATAATACGAGAGAGGGTCAGCTCTGAGTTGGTTCTGAATCTATATACACAACAACAACAACAATAAAACAATAGCTTTTAAGTGCAAGTCTTTGTTCTTAAAAGAATACAATTTGTTTACCATTTTGAGCCAATGATTTGTTAGTTTTAGAGGGAAAGAGGTGAGGGAATTGTGAGTGGAGAGTTGGAAAAGCTAAAACCCATGACATGTTCTTTTGGTTGCACATTTTCTTCTTTGGAGGAAACAGTCTTTTGAAATTTTGGTACTTATATTCTGATAGGCTTTCTGAGTTAGAGATCAACCGAAGCATACAGTTCTGTTGTAAGTAAAAGAGAAGGTACAAGATGAAGTCTGTAGTAAACAGAGAGCCCTGGCTTATGGCATGAACAGACCATGGACTAACTGAGGAGACACAGTGGCCAGAGGAAGGCTGAGGGGTCTCCTAGCAATGGAGTATGTGCACCGGAGAGCTCTGCAGAGGAGTGAAGGGACAGCATGGAGACGTGGAAACGTGTTTGGGACTGACGTATCTGACAAGAAACAGTCTCTAAAATTTATGGAAAGTTACAGCACCTCAGCATCCGGACTCCTGAATGAGGAGGACATGAAAGGCCACCTCACCAAGGCAGGTGGTCACTCAGAGGGAATGAGGTGAGGGAGGTGTCTAGACCTGAATTGTGTCCCTGGTGTCTGAAGGACATGGATGGTTTGGTAGGACATGCTGCACAGGGAGGAAGCGCCAGCGTGGTCTTAGGGAATCTTTGCTCAACAAGGAGATACTGCTCCTCCCAGACACAACAGCATGTTCTTGTGTGAGCATGCATGCGTCCTAGTCATTGGGAGCTCTGGTGGTCTGCTGGGTATGGAGTTATACTAGCAACGCAAAGGAACACAGTTCAAATCCACTAGCTTCTCCAGAGGAGAAGATGGGCAGTCTCTTCCTGTGCCATTTACAGCTTCTGAAAACCTGTTGGAGGGTCAGCTGTGACTCAGTTCTGACTTAATGGCACATAGCAATAGTTGGCAGGCAAGACCTGATTGTGATAAATGATCAAGGCTAATCCTAATGCCTCTCTTGTCACAATCAAAGCACACTTTAGACTTTCTAGATCCCATGTAGACATTAGAAATTCGGTGGATGAGAGACTAGGCTTGCTTCCTGCTACTGTCCCACACATCAGCCCCACCTGTGTCCCAGTGAAGGCTTGTCCCTCTGTGATCGTGAACAGGTTATATCAGTGACTGCAGTCAGACCTGGAAGTAAGTAAGGCCTTGTGATCGGCTTCCAAACCTAGCCCGTAGGAGCCAGGACAACACTGGCCAGGCTGCACCATGGCCGGGCAGCGTTGTGCGTGGAGGTCCTGTGAGTCAGCTCGTGAACACACAACCGTTCCAGGAGATCGTGTAGAATCCTTACCCAGATACCAGTTACTAAAGTTATTACACAGTTTCAGGCAATTACAGACCCTACATTGTTAAGTCCAGGGTTTCTCAGGGTCAGCACTGCTGACATCTTGGGTCAGATAATTTTTGGTTGTGGGAGGCTGTGTGTGATCAGAGGACGGTCAACAGCGTCCTCGGCTGCTACATATGAAATGTCAGTGGTGTCTCTTCACTGTAACACGAAGATGTACGGAAGGGTCAGATATTCAGTTGTTGTTGTTGTTAAGTGCCGTCAAGTCATAAGTGACTCATAGCGACCCTATGAACGAAAGACCTGGACACCTGTATAACTTTCGTCCCTTCTCCAGGCTCATAGGGAGGCAAGCTGTTTCGGAAGTGAATGCCACTCCTGCTTCCAAGCTTGTTTTAATCGGGGAGCTCCACCAAACACTGTCCACCATGGGTAATCATTATCGCATTTGACACATCAGTGTCACAGTGTTTATCATCACAGTGGTTTATCAACCACGAGTTACCTTTGTCCAGCAATGCACAGACTAGGGCTATGCCACTTAGAAGGATGTTTCACCCAAAACAATTAAAACCAGGCCTGAGGGCCGCAGATTAGTCAGCCACCTTTGGCTCGGTAGCATCCCTTTCTGTCCACTAGGCCAACAGAGCTCTGTCAGTGGGGGATGAAATCACTCCCAACTGGGAGTCATGGAGTTAGACAAGAGGAAAGCAAAAGAAAGTCTAATAAAATAAATTATATGGCTTCCTAACAGCCTACAGCTGCAACAGGAGCTTCCTTAGTCCCAGAAACTGTACTGTTCCTCACTATTTAATCCTCCCACCAATTCTCCAAGGTAATTACTGTAATTCTCTCTATTTCATAAACTGGAGAGTTGACCTTACTTGACCGAAGAGGAATCCATGCCTTTGCATTGTGGTGTTGGTAGGGAATATTTGCACACCCCACGGGCTACCAAGAGAACAAACAAGCCTGCCTCGGAAGAAGAACCAGGGTGCTCCTGAGAGGCGAGGATGGGGAGACTGCATCTCACGTACTGTGGGCATGCTCTCAGGAGTGACCAGTCCTTGAAAAAAGACACCAGCCGGGAAAGGTGAGAGGTCAGAGCAAGAAAGAAAGACCTCTAACAAGATAAACTGACACGGTGACGGTAACAGGGGCGAGGGCATACCTGAGATGGGGAGAAAGGCGCAGAGCAGGGCACGATTCAGATCTGTTGTTCAGAGGCTCACTGTGACTCAGTGATGCTTAACCACCACAAGAAACCCAAGGTCACACAGCTCGTAACCAAGGAAGTGAGGATTCAAACAAAACCTGCATGTCTCCAGAGTCAACATTTGTCCCCACAGAACTTTGCTCAAAGTATTTGCAGTGCTACAGTACTTGCAGTAGGCACACGTTCAAGACAAATACAGTGCCTATCCTTTGCTCAAACTTATAAAAGGCTTTCCCCTCCTGTGAGGACAGGTTGGTACTATTGTACTGAACAGTTAAGAACATGCAGGTTCAAAGAGAGGATAAGCCGTTCAGATATTCTGGTTCTCATGATTGCCGCTGGCCTTTCCATCGTATTAACACACACTCCGTCCTTTTAAAGTCATGGGTCACTTCTTTAAAGGAGCATGATTCGATATTCCCGTGGAAGACTTTACTCCGCCGATTTGTCAAACAGGTTTAGCATGCTGTATAGGATGAGAGGACTTGGTGAACAGTCAGGGCAAACACGCTTGGTCTCTCCACGCAGGAGCCAGAGTGTTCTGCTAAGAAAATGTCAACCAGAGCATGCCACTGCCTGCTTGGAACCATTTATGTTCTCTCGTTTCATCCCAAAGTCTTTATAGGGCACGCTATATATTTTATGGTGAGTCCCAAGAAGCCCGTCACTGGTTCAAAAAATCACCAGCTTGTGGTCAGCCTTGTTCTGATCTACCCAAACCCTCCCCACTAATCAAATCATGTCTCACTGCTCTTTGCATCAACTTCAAAGTGCTTACCATGGCGTACAAAACCCTAAAAGACCCTGTCCCTGTGCCCCGTGATGCCCTTCCTTTGCCTCATCCACCCTCTTGCTAACCCTGGTCCAGCCACACTGGCCCCTGCAGGTCCAAGCCTTTATGCTGTCCCTCTGCCGTGAAGGTTCCATCTGTTTGATGCCTTACTTTAGATTCAAGTCTGTGCTGAAAAAATGCAGCCTTCACAGAGTGGAAACCTCAATCATTTAATATCAAGCAAGTCCTATTCAGTTTCTATCAGATTGTTTTCATTTTCATGATTTTTATTTTCTTATTTTTCAAACATCTGGCTCCCTTTTCTACCATAAATTTTACACGCATGTGCGTGAGCCACACACACACACACACACACACGTTTTAATCAATGACTCTTGGATCTGGCCCATTTGTCCATGCACTTTCCCTGATGCCCTGATTTGCACCTTTGTTTCTGGAAGGGGGAGTTTGCCGCTGGCCTGGTGTGGAGTGTCATAAACCATGGCGCTGGCCTTTCAGCTGTCTCCTAGCTCTTGGAAACAATTCTCAGAAGGGCTTTTGCCTCTTGACATGAAGCTTCACTCTGTGTTTTATTAGAGCGTGCTCCACATCGTGAAAACCTCTCAATGCTCAACAGACCTTGATGTGAATGAAAGCCCGTCCCATTTTCTTGTTTTAGGAACTGAAGAATAAATCTTTCGCTAAAGAGGATAGAAAAGTAAGGTGGGGCGAAGAGAATGAGTCCTGTCGGCGATTCCCACGTCAGAGGTGAAGAGGAAAGTGGTGGCTGTGAAAGGCAGCCTACGGGGCTGTGTCCTGCGCACACCACAAGGAGAAGCTGTGGTGAGAGAGGGCAGGCACTGCAGTGCAGCTTCTACG